AATTTTACTTAAATTAATATTTCTTAGCTATTATAAATTAGTTTAGTAATTTAAAAGGCTAAGAAACTCTAGTTTTACCTAGATAGGACTAGCGCCTGCTTAGTAAGTACTTAGAATTCTCTACTTCACTCTAAAGTAGAGAGAAAAAAAACCCTAGTTTAAAGATAGAATAACTATTTTCTTATACTACTTCTATAGCTAAGTTAAAGATGTATTAATATATTTAGTACGTATAATAAAAGATTAGATTTTTTTATTTTTTAAATATCTTACTATAGTTTTATAGCTAAAATAAGAAATTTAAAATATTTTAATATAACTAATTATATTTATAAAATAATAAGCTAATATAAATTTTATTTAATATAATTGTATAAAAACACTAAGATATCTTATATAAGGTTGAATAGTTATCTAAATTAATATAATAGAATATTAAGACTCTTACTACTTTTTAGTTTATAAAAGATTTTCTTAGTAAAATCTAATATCTTATAATTTCAAGCTATATTAATAAGAATATTTATACTAAAGTATTATTCGTAGTAAAGTTTGATAGAAAACTAATATATTAGATTCTTATAATATATTATTAACCTTATATAAAACTAGCGTATTTTAAATACTAGAAAATTATTAACAATTTTATAACTTTGAGCTATAATATTTAAATAAATATTAAAGTACAACTTTTATAGTTTTAAATAGAGCTTATCACCTAGAAATAAAAAAATCTATAATCTTATATTACTAATATAACCTTTATATAAAAGTACTATTTTTTTCTTTATTTTATTTAAATAATAAAGTAAGATATATAGGCTAAAATTTTAGTTACGTAATCCCTATATATATAAGTATTATATCTATTTTTTAAAGAAAGTTTCTACGTCTACTAGAAAGATATAATAACTAAAATATAGCGATTTTTTAATACCTAAGTTTAAACCCATTTAACTTCTTCCTTATAGTTACTCAGCAGACGCTAGTACTATCTTGGTTAAACTAGTGCTTCTTAGCTTTTTAAATTACGTACCCGATTTAGAATAGCTCTTATATTCGCTGAGTTATTTAAGTTTTAAACCTAGAACTTTTAGTAATATATTTTTTCTATATCACCCCTCTATATAGGCTAGTAGTTTATATATATATAATGTAAAATTTTTATAAATAAAAAATACTTAGCGCGAAAATTTGAATTTTATTTTGTAATTTCCAATAATTTGGCTTCTAACGTATCTATAAGGTTCTGCGTGCTAACTAAGTAAAAACCAAAATCCTACAATTAAAGCTCACTTCAATTCCTACATAAATTCGTTTTGTTTTTGATTTTAAGCATCTTTTTTGGCCTAGAAATAAATCATTTAAAATATCAACTTGTTTCGATTTGCGTTTGTTTTTGTTACCACACTGTAATAGGCGATACTCTTGGGGTAGTAGTCCCTTGCAGCGCGCGGGAAATTTCTTGGGATTTTCGGAACGAATCATTGGGCCCGGGTAGAGGATATAGCGAGCTGGATATGTGCTTTGTTTAAAGCTAACTAACTAGTATTGCTTTGAACCATTGTGCGCCAAAACGAGTCGAAGGAAAACATGAAAAAGGGTATTAACCCCTATTATTTGTGCTGATGAGCTGACTCCTTGCAGCAATTTTAACCGCTAACGCACTTAAAGATTCTGCACCAAGCAGCTCCAGCATCGGCACAACACTGTCCATATCTTTTATCAGCCAATTCCTCAGCTCAACTGCAACTAAAGAGTCGATACCATAGTCTTGTAAACTCTTTGTAGTGTGTACATTTTCGATAGGAATCTCTGTGCGAGAGACAACCTGATCCACAAGGGCACTAAGCACGATAGTTACTGCACTATCAAAGCTTGAGGATTGCGCCAAGATGCCACGCAATGTATCGACGTCTGTAGAGCCAGTAGAGTTTTGACACGAAAGCATGCGATAGCGCGAAAACAGGGGTGCGTTCAGACCAGGAAGTGAAGTGTCAGGATGCCATGGACCCAAGCCAGTGACAATTTGAGCACGATGAGGCTCGCGCGACGAGTGGGAGATGGCGAACTCCAAAAGACGCATCAAAAGCTGCTCATCGGTAAAAGCGAAACCCTGGCGCTCCATAGAAAGTTTTACGTCAACATTCCGTTCTAGGTACCCAATGCCATGGACAGCGCCAATATCAATAACAGTGGCGGGCTGACAGCGTGCCCTCCTCCAGCGTGCAAAGGCGTCGAGGAATGTATTGGCTGCAGCATACGCAGCCTGACCAGGATTCCCAATGATACCGCTGATAGACGACTCCAGGATGAAGAAGTCCAAGTCTGCTGGTAAGTGAGTTTGCAGATTCCATGTGCCTTGCACCTTTGGGCGTACGACGGCCATATAGTCTTCTAGCGTCATGTTTGCAAGCATGGAGTCGCGCAGCACCATGGCGCCTTGAATGACACCACGAATGGGTGGCCAGTTGGATCTGGCTTCAGCTAGGACAGAAGAAAGCTGGGCTTTATCAGCAACGTCGCAAGCGAGGACAGTGGCTGTGCAACCGTTGGCGCGCAGCGTAGCGAGGGTTGTGCGAGCGGCCTCGGTGTCAGCACCTGAGCGGTTGAGCAATAGCAGATGACGGGCTCCGCGCGTCGACATCCACAAAGCAGTAGCACTGCCAAGACCACCCACTCCGCCAACAAGTAGATACGAGGCGTCTGGGCGAAAGAGGGTGCGCCGGCTGGCGGGTGGAGGCTTATACCAGACCATATCGTCTGGATTAGCGACAGCAACCATTTTGCCCATGTGACGGCCGGTCTGAATTTTGCGGAACGCGTTGCCTAGCTGCGAGAAGGTACACTTCTCGAGAGGTTCTGGCCCTCTGAGCTTGCCTTGGTCATACAAAGCTAGCACTTCAGCTAAAACTTCATGCGCTGCCTGCGGGTCATGGCGCAGCATGTAGGCTAGGTTGTAAGCCGTGAACGAAACATTGCGTGCAAAGGGAGCCATATCCAGTCGCGAGTTGACAGTAATATCACGCTGGCCCAGCTCAACAAAACGTCCATTTGGTGCAATGCAGGTCCAGGACTGACGCAACGACTCTCCAGCTAGAGAGTTCATGATTACGTCGACGCCACGGCCGTTTGTCAGTCGCATCACATCGTGGACAAAGCTAGTGTCGCGGCTGAAAAGAATGTCCTCTTCCGACAATCTGAAACGTTGCATGATTAAACGTTTCTTCTCTGTGCTGCCAACAGTGACGAGAACGCGTGCGCCGACCAGCTGGCTAAGTTCAACTAGAGCCTGTCCCAGCCCGCCGGCAGCAGCGTGGATCAAGATGGTCTCACCATGGCGCAGATGAGCAATATTGTGGATCGAGTGATACGCCGTCACATAGGTGATGGGAAGCGCCGCAGCTGTCTCTAGCTCCATGTGATGCGGAATGCGATGGGCCAGCCTTGCATCAACCCGCAGCTGTGTACAGAAGGATCCTGGCCCCATGCACGCGACGCGGTCCCCTACTCTTAACCCAACAACACCGTCTCCTACAGCGGATACGACACCGCTACACTCACAACCTAAGTCTTCGACGGCGATCTGGCCCATAGCCATCATGACATCTTTGAAGTTAATGCCTGTTGCGTGGACCTGCACCTCAATCTGACCAGTCTCCAATGACTCTTGAACGCGGTCGTCCACCGTGAAGTGCAGACTGTCGAGCAGACCGGGTGTGCCCGCAAACAAGCGACAAGGCCCCGCCTGGTCCAGGCGAAGCTCCATCGCTGTCGCCTCTCCCTGCAGCTGTTTCGCCGCATCGCCGTCCTCGATTAGCCTCGCGACATGGAGAATGCCGCGCCGTTCCTGCAGCTCTACGTCAATGTCTTCGCCACCCTGCATCATTCGTTGAAAAACGGCGGCAATGTATGCCGCTGCGGCCTGCGCCGAAAGTACCTTATCGTTGTCGAGATCTAGCGTCGTAATGGGCTTATCACCAGCTTCGGCCCGAACTGTGCGGGCAAACCCTTGTATCAGTGAGACTTGAGGATTAGAGCAGACATTATCTGCTGCACCCCTTGTTACCCAAACTATGCCTGAACACGTATCTGTGATTCTCTTCACCGCCTCCCATTCGGCTGCCGTCGGCGCCGCCAATACGGGTCTCGATAGTTCACTTAGCACTATGCATGCTTGTCCTGGTCTTGGGCGAGCGTGTTCGAGCGACGCCACATGCACTTCCGCATACTGATCTTCGCAGAGTGTTTGCAATTGCTGCAAGTCGACTCCAGCCGGTTCTCCGTCAGTCACCACGAGTACATCCAGGCCGATCGTCTTCTCGGCTTTTTGAACTTGGGCTGCTCTCTGTATAACTGTGACGTTTGGACAGAGCCTTGCATAAATATCGTAACCCATGCTTTGCACTGCACAGTCAACGTCTGGCGAGTCGGCTGATTTCTCATCGACCCAGGTTGACAGGAAGCTGGGCAACGGGCCCCAAACCAACGCAGCCATGGGCGACTTGTGCGAATTATCTACAAGAAGAATCTTGCCTCGAGCGTTCAATAGAGGTGCGGCAGCCGACAGTGTCTTCGAAAACCCTGGACTGGACCCTAACACGTTAAACGCAACAACGATATCATAAGTCTCGTTGACGATAGGAGGATTTTGCTGTGATGCTCCACTCTCATTGAAGACGTCTCTGAAACCCACCGAATCAGCCCATGATGGAAACCTCGACCTGACGGTCTGATCAATATTGAGCTCTGCGTCACTATGATGGAGGACAGCGAAAGGGATCTCACCGCCCCCTAACTCAGCTAGGAGCATGAGCAAGTTCAGAGACGTAGGTCCTGACTGAGGTCCTACAGTTAACACTCTCAGACTCGGTTTTTTGTGCCCTAGAAGATGGAGATACGTTGCGGTCGGTAGGTTATTATCGTAAAGTTCAGGTATTCTAACTGCCTCCATGAGATCGTACATTGAGGCGACATCGCTAGGAGCGACCCGTCCCGTGAGGACGTTCGACAGTCTATCAGCTGCCTGTGCTAGCGTTGAATCGACATTTTTCAGTGAGGAGATTTCATCCAGGGCGCCCCTGTGATCCGGTGTTGATAAACTCTCTAATGAAGCATGTAAGAGCTTCCAAAGGTGCCGTGACGATTCTCCAACCACTTGTGCTTGTTCAAAAGGCACCCTCGCGAGTATTTCTTTGCCTAGCTGTGCCGCAGTCTGCTTCATCTTTTTTGCCGCGATATGGTCCTTGACTTTTGTAGAGGCATTTATCATCTCGACTAGCTGTTCTTCAGTCAACATGTCTACATCAGGCTTCCAGTGTAGATTGAACGCCAATGGCAATGCTTCCCCGCTCTCTTCGCTTGAATTTGGCCTGTCCAGAGCCACCAACGTCATGTCGTCTATCGTGATTACTAATTGATTTTCTGAGCTAGGTCCGTCGGCAAAAACTGACATACTCGTGGAAAAATATCGATAATCTTTGCGAGTTGACGATGCATAAGACGTGAGTAAATCCCCTGCCTGTCGTGTCACGTTTCGGGAAATGAACATGCTCTCGATTGCGACTGGAATGGTCGCACTCTTTAGATGGCCGGCCTGCACTAATGCTGGTAGGTATGTTTGGATGATGCTGTCTAGCGTGCCTGGGTGGATGATGAAAGGAGCTTCATGTTTCATCGGCATAACAGCTGCTGTGTCTGGAACCTTTACTTTGCCAATGCATTTGTTGGATGTGCAACGCACATCACAGAGGTTTGCAAAAGTTGGACCATATTGCATCCCTGTCTCCCAAAAGTGCTCATACATATCCTTAACATCCCATTCTGTCTTGCAACAAGTTGCAAAAACTTCGCGAAGGTCGTGCTGACATGCTATTGTTGACGCGTCCTGCATTTTGCCGTTGACTAGGTTAGATAATTTGGACGATTTCAGTACGGATATAAGGCCGCGACAATGTTCCGTCCATCGATTTTCGTCGTTTACGGACGAAATAGAAAACTCATCCCAAAGATTCGATGGTGATCGTACACTTTCAGAAAAAGATCTCAGTGTAATAAAAACTTCGACTTGGCCAGGCATGTCAGGTATTGTAAGAGCAGAGCTGATCGCGACGTCACGAAACTGATATCCCAAGATATCGTTTCCCATCTCTCTCATCTGGTTACGTTGAGTTGCCGCCTCAATGGCCATCGCGATATACCCCGCTACTGGGTAGAGGATGGAAGACTGGATCTTGTGGTCCTGTAGCCAAGGCAGTTCCGACAAGCGGATGACTTGTCGCCAGCGAGGCTCTAGCACGCTCGAATGAACATCAAACACGCCGATGAGGTCCAGTCTAGGATATCGTCGTTGCCGGTAAGTTTTGCTGATTCTCGACTCGGCCGTGTAGGCCTTGGAATGATTCCAAGAATATGACGGCAAATCAACGAGCGGGGTATGCCTGGAGTTGCAATTTTGGTTCACAGCCGAGAGTTGAATAGGATATCCAGACAAGAATAGGTCGGCCGCAAGGGAAAGTATAGTAGTTACCGCGTTCTTCTTCCGTACTAGGGCAGAAAAATACCCTGTGGGGTTCGCGAGTGGTTCAGAATCTATAACTTGGCTGATTGGCCCCCCGAGAGCTGCGTGTGGACCAATTTCGATCAAGGCTTGGATCTGCGGGGTACCGGTACCATGGTGGGAGCTGACCAACGAGCTTAATGATTGGGCGAATTTCACTTGGCCTACCAAGTTGCTCACCCAATAATCTACTCCGAGCTTATTTTTGTCAAGTAATTCCCCTGTCACGGAAGAGAAAAACTTCACATCGCTGCCTGGTAGAGGCTGGATACTGGAAATAGCGCTTCGGTAGCTGTCTGCAATAAGCTCCATGTGGTGGGAGTGATATGCAACATCAACAATCAGCCGTCGATTGTAAACTCCCTTTTGTCGAAGGACGTCTTGCAATTCATCGAGAGCACTCTTATCTCCAGATACCGTGCAACTCGTTGGACTGTTGAAGCATGCAATCCCCACTTTTCCGTTTTCCAAAGCAGATAAGATGTGACTCAATTCTTGTGTCTCCATACTGACTGCAGCCATTGCTCCTTTTGCACCCTTCTTGGCTAGATTAGCGGTCGCACAACCTCGTGCATAGGCCACTAGCATGGCATCTGAGAGACTGAGTGCACCGGCTGCATAGGCTGCTGCAATCTCACCACTGGAGTGTCCAGTAACAGACTGTGCGTAAATTCCCCATGAGACAAGCAGGTCCACGAGTGCAATTTGCAATGCTGTGCATAATGGCTGGCTATATAATGCCTTGTTGATCCGAGAAGATTCAACATCTGCTTCTAGTTCATCTAGAAAACAGCGTTAGCATGAAGTATTTGCTGCAAATGAGAGGCCTACCAATGACATGAAAGTCTGCTCCAAAACTCTGAAGCGCTATATCGCATGCGATTAGACTTTGACGAAACCGGGGAAAAATACTAATAAGCTCGCGTCCCATGCCGCACCACTGTGCGCCTTGTCCAGTGAACACAAACCCAATATTGTGGCGAGGCGCCATGTTAACAAATCGTACTTTCTCTAGCTTTGTAATGAGCTCTTGAATGGTTGTAGCGCTCAACGCAGCTTTCCAGGGGTGCCAGGTACGCCGGTCCGATAGCGTGTAGGCGAGGCTTGAAAGGATTGTTTTTTCATCTGAACCCTGGCGCTGAGATAAATAGATCGAGAGGGATCTAGCCCATGCATCGCCTGCAGAAGAGTCGAATGCAGAGAGAGCGAATAACAGAGGAGTGGGATCTTCATGAGAGCGGTCATTGCTGGACATATCTTGGACGAGCGAAACAGCGGGTTTTGTTTGGCCAACGTTACCGACTACAACGCTCCGTCTACTCGCGAAACGAGTAGAATCAGTGCCCATGCTATTGTCGCGAAGGAAATCCGTAGCACTCTCTAAGATTGCATGTACATTCGCCCCACCGTATCCAAAGCTATTAATGGATACGCGACGTGTTTTCACATTATTCCAACACTCTAAAGTTGTAGGTACCTTGTCTAGGTTAGTTACGTCTTTCATAGTTTGTTTCGAGACCTACACGCAAGTTCCATTTTTCCAGCGGGATTTTCGTGTTTGGTCTCTCAAAATTCCGATTTGGAAGAATGACGCCTTGCTCCAACATAAGTATAGATTTGACAACACCTGCTAGGCCGCTTGCACCTTCAAGGTGGCCGATGTTTGTCTTCACAGATCCGATCAGAAGTGGTAATCGACGCCCAGGACTGAAAACCTTCGAGAGGGCACTGGCTTCGGTTGTGTCACCGGCCTGCGTCCCAGTGCCATGGCATTCGACATAGGTTGTATCCAGTGGATCAAGAGCAGCCTTTTTGTATACCGACCTTATCAAAGCCTCCTGCGAAACGCTATTTGGCATAGTAATCCCTGGCGTCTTACCGTCTTGATTACAACCTGTGCCCCGGATGACAGCTCTAATCGTATCATTATCCGCAAGAGCATCTTCAAGTCGCTTTAGCAGCAGAACTGCAACTCCCTCGCCCCGTGCATAACCATTGGCACGCTCGTCAAAGGCGTAGCACCTCCCGTCAGGGGATAAAAATCTATTGTGCAAATGTTCAGTATTGTGGTATCGCTAAACGAAAACATACATTACTCACTTCATCATACTCATAGTTACCATCATTTCAGGACCCAAGATCAAGCTAGAACCGGCCGCAAGAGCTTGTCTCACATCGCCAACAAGTAAACTCTGGCACGCAAGATGAAGTGCAGTCAGTCCACCAGAGCAAGCCGTGTCAACTAGTACACTAGGTCCTTTCAAGTCGAATGAGTACGATATTCGATTTGCCAGATTCGAACGTGAGAACCCAGAATTCGTACATTGGTACATAGGCACGCTCTCTGGGTCCCTCCACAGCATATCAGTGTAGTCTGTCGCAAATGAGGATACAAACACAGAAGTATCGGTCCCAACTATTTTTGACATTGGCGTTCCAGAGTTTTCGAATGCCTCATAAGAACACTCAAGCAACATTCTCTGCTGTGGATCGAGTGCAGCAGCTTCTGCTGGCGACACGTTGAAAAATGGCGCATCAAAATTGTAGACGTCCTGTTGGAACCAATGGCCGTACTCGACATTGTGCTAACCATGAACATTAATAATCTAGAGAATGGTGTATATCACAATATGCTATGTATTTAGCGGATTGAACTTACAGTACCATGACGACTCGAGTCCGGATGATAGAAACCCTCTGGATCCCATTTCTTCGCTTGAACTTCTGCCCGGCTCTCTCTGCCCTCAGAAATCATGTTTAGCAATTTCTCAACGTTTGTTGCATCACCTGGTCCGCGGAAACTCATACCCACAACCGCAATCGGTGTGATGCCGCCTGTTTTAGAATCGCGAACTGTCATTGTAGAGTCAATGAATAGTAAATCTAGATTGAAAACCAAGGTTGTAATAAGTCAAGATCACAAAACTTCCAATAGGCTATATATACATTTTTTCTTGTCTTTCTTAAGTAGATGATTAGAGAGTATTTTCCAAGTTTGCTCAGAAATACCTAATAAGTTTACCAATCGAAACGGCCCTTGTCTGCATTAACTTATTATTCTAGTTGAATTCAATCTAGTTGTAAAAGCAGCGTGATGCATTATCCTTGTAGCAAGCTCTACGGGGAACGCTTTCAAAAGTTGTCGCTCCTACGGTAGACACGGTTAATAGTAAGATAACACCGAAATATAGCTAGCTTTCTCTAAAAGGGAGTATTAGTAAGTATTTTCTAAGCTAGTATGTCTAAATGGGCTTAGTAAGCTCTACTATTCCTATCTATTAAAAATTATTTAGGAGATTAACTGAAATATAGAGAACTATATAAGTAATATTTAGTCTAATAATATTTAAGTTAGCTGATAGGGGTGGGGGCATGCGATAATAACTTTTGAAAGTGTTCTTCGTATAGCTTTGCGGATTGCGTAGGATCAGCTCTTAAGAGCACATTTTTCACTAACTTTTCACTCCAAACGAATTACCTTTAATTCTAATAACGATGTTAGAACTCTACTATATATAAGACCCTCCCCGTAGCTAGATCATGATAACTATTTAATAGGTTGAAACAAGGGTCTTTCGTCCCCGCCCTACCTTAGCTAACAGAGGTTTCTAGGCTATTCCTAACCTAGATATCATCTAATTGCTCTAGCTCTTAAGTTACCTACCCTTCTTATACCCGTTACTATCTTCGAGCTCAATCTACTATATATAATATAGAAATCGCTTAATATAAGTGTTATAGGGTAGGTTATATACCTACTCTATTATAGCCTAGTT